GCTCACTCCAAAAAGTGTTTCGTATCTGAGATCACACAAAAAAATGCCTGATGCTGCAAAATGTTTGGTAGAAGAATTCAACAAGGTGGGTTTGCCCATTGGAAAGGTAGCCACCATCTTCCAAAGTCATGATTTGGGGTTTGACAGTCGAGATTGTTATAATCATATGAGAAATATAAGGAAAAGTATGTATGGTGTTGGGGATGCACAAGCCGTGCTACATTATTGTATTGAACAACAATCACTGAATCCAATTTTTTTTATTCCATCAAGTGTGATGGTGATGATCGTATGGTGAGCTTTTTCTGGATTGATGCAAGATCTAGACATGCCTATGAGTTTTTTGAGGATGTGATAACATTTGACACGACATATAGGACTAATAAGTATTCTATGCCATTTGGACCTTTTGTCGGTGTAAATAATCATATGCAATCACTGCTACTCGGATATGCTCTATTACAAGATGAAACTGAAGATACTTTTGTATGGCTATTTGAGGAATGGCTACGAGCAATGAAGGGAAAACATCCAGTTAGTATAATTACTGACCAGGTACAATCAATGTCAACACACTCTATTTTGATGTTTCATATATTATTTCAAATATGCTTGTTTATTAGCAACTATACACGTACTCATGTTGTTGATTTTCCAAGACATGGCGATTAGCAATGCAGTCTCCAAAGTATTCCCAAAGACCAAGCATCGATTTTGTTTGTGGCAGACCATGAAAATTTTTCCTGAGAAGTTATCTCATGTATACCATGAGCACGCATCATTTAAAAAGCATTTGAATGATTGTATATGGAGCTCCAAGAGCACTCAAGAGTTTGAAGAAAGATGGCAAAATCTTATTGTTCAATATGGTCTTCATGGAAATGAGTGGCTTCATGTACTTTACTCAATTAGATCATCATGGGTACCAATCTTTAATAGATCTACTTTCTTTGCTGGTATGAACACTACTTAGCGTAGTGAAAGTATAAATTCTTTTTTTGATGGATTTGTTACACCTGGAATAACATTAAAGGAATTTGTGGAGAAATATAATGAAGCAGTAGATGCTCGCTACGAGTCATTCAAAAAAGAAGACTTTGAATCTAAGCATAAAGAAAGACTTTTGACATTTAATATGCCATTGGAGGAGCATGCAGCTAAAGTGTATACCTGTGCAATTTTTTCAAAGTTCAGTAAAGAGCTTTCTCTAAGTTTACGATTATCTAAGGAAAAACTTGGAAATGATGGTAAGTGTGTTACCTACAAAGTTTTTAATAAGAAAGACAGAGATGATTTTGCAACAGTTGACATGAATTTGGAAAATAAAGAAGCTAATTGTTCTTGCCTTTATTTTGACTTAATGGGAATCCTATGCCGGCATGTTCTTGCTATTTTTTTGATTGCAAATATTGAGCAAATCCCTGAACACTTCATCTTGCATCGCTGGAGCATGGAAGGAAATGTTATACTAAACATAGATAAGGACATGTGTGTTACTGATGGAGATAGACTTTTTTGCAGCTTTCACCTACGCTCTAGATATTCTACACTTGATGAGCTTGCAAATAAGTCTAATGAAGCATTTAAGTTTATTTGTGATGGTATTGATTCTCTCTCTATTGCTGCAAAAAAATTAGTAATATCTGAGGAGAGTAGTAGTGTTGGCAATTCTGACTTACAATACTTGGGTGATAATTGTGAAGAGTCTTCTATGATGAACTTGAAGGATCCTTGCATTTTGCAAACGAAAGGGAAGAAAAGGGACTCCCAGAACACCTCATAGGGACGGAGGATTCGTAGCGGGATTGAAGATGCATCAAAGCATACTAATATTTGCGGACATTGTAAAAAAAGAGGACATAATAAGCGCACATGCAAGGAAATACATAAAGATTTATTTTAGTTTCAATCTTATTATGTTTTTCAAAAAGTACGATGTTTATGGAATTGATTATGTTAAATTTAGTCATTTTGATTTTAATATCAGACCTGAAATTACTTGTAGGCTTCAATTTATATAGTACTATAAGCATGCATGAAAAGTCAGATAAAATTTTAATCCAACGGTGATCAAATTGGTTGTATAGGTGGTATACTTTAGTGGTGGTAAGCTACAATACAATTTTTTTTTAAAAATGGTGTGTGTCGGACACGTGTCCGACACGGTCACGCTCCGACACACGCGTCCGACACGCGGTCAATATTTTGGGACACGCTCCGACACGTTTTTCTGACACGCAGTTAACTTTTCCGGACACTTGGTCAAACGTTCAGACACGCTCCGACACATTTTTTTTGTTAGTCTTAATTTTATTTTATTAACTAAAAATAAAAAAAAATCATTTATAAATCAATTTTTTTCTGTTATGAAATTTGACATGAAAAATTAACTTGGTACGAAAAATTATTTTTTTTATATATTTTTTATGAAATTTGAATATTTGATTGGTTATATGACTTATTATGAACTATTATATGTATCAAATATAAATTATATTATATATATTAAAAATATTATTTAATATCAAAATGTGTCCCAACGTGTCGAAATATGTCATTTTTTAGAATTAACGTGTCGATGTGTCGTGTCGTGTCCCGTGTGTCGTGTCAGTGTCCGTGCATCATAGGTGGTAAGTGGATCCCTTCCCTTAACATTTAACTTTTTTTTTTTTTATATAAATAATACAGTTTGTTCCAATTTATGAATGGTACTAACTGTCATAGTCATTAGATTATTCTGAAAGAACATTATAAGTTAACCATGGTTAACTCAAATGATGATTTAAAAAAAAATATGTAAGATTTAATTAGAGTCATACAAGGAAAAAAACAATATTAAAATAAATCAATTCACTCAACAACAAAAGCTTATATTCACAAGAATCATTTGCAACTCAAAGAAATAATTGAAAAAATAAATTTTAAAAGAAGTTTCAACTCTAGGAAAGATTAAGAAAACACAAGTCTTGCATAAAAGGAAAATAAAAATAAAAATTATAAACTGACGAAACAAAATATTCATTAAAAAATTGTCCAAAACTCCAAAGCGACTACAGTCTATCTACAAAATATATATTCATTTCATCACATGTCAATTGCTATAATTCACCACCCAAGATGATGAGCAAGATATGGAAAATGTGTCTCATGTCCTATTTTCATCTATCAAATGATATATCACCATCATCTTGAGTCAGAATTAAATATGAGATAACAGGAAAGAAATAAGTCCGACATTGTTTCAGATTAAACTAATTTAAAAAAAAATTATAAATAGTTAAAGGAAATATTTTGAGGAAAATGCCAATTGGCTTTTATTAAACATAATCATATGTATTGGTAAATTAGGCAAGGGATTTCAATTTGGGCTAAGACTATTTTTCCAAATGTATATGTTTAGTTTATCATCGTTGACAAACTTTCAGAATGGTCCATGATAACAATTTTAGTTTTTAATTTTTAATTTTTCAACTTTTTGATATGGAAAACAGAAATTATTAAAAGTTTTGTTTGATTCAAAACCTCACATTTACTGATGAGTTTTTTTGCTATCAAGGTAGATAAGTTATTTAAATTGAGCTCAAAACGATATTATTCTGGAGGTAAATCAAGGTATTTTTATAATTATAATTTATTTCAGGGTTATTATAATTTTTCTTATTATAATTTTTTAATCTTTCAACTCAAAACGTCATCGTTTTGAATGTGGATGTAGTTAATTTATCTTCATTTATTGTAAAACCGTTAAAGCTTTAATAATTGAAATAAAGTAAACTCTCTTTATTTATTTAATACACAGGGTAAAAGTGTGTTATTCAAGAAATTTTTTTATCTAGAAACTCTTCTTAAGCACATAAATAAAAAATTATTTTCCTCTAATTAAAGATGTGCAAAAAAATCCAAATTATCCAAACTATATTAGAAATTGAACTAAACCGATTACAAAAAATCGGTTTTTTAAACATTTTTATAAACCCATCCTGTTTTTTATTTTAAATAAAATTTGTATATCCATTATAACCATTTTGAATCAATACTCGTTCTAGACTCTAAAATAAAATGATAAAGTATCTTAATTGTCATTTTTCATTCTTCTTTCATTTTCTCCAAATTTTATTAACTAAACGCCTAGATCAGATGTATTAGTTTTTTTTTTTTTTTTTTGAAATTGAACAGATGTATTAGTTATCTCTTGGAAAGGATGCAAAATTGGGACATTCACTCCCTGATTACGAGATGGCGAAGAGCAGAAACCTGTGTGTCGGTGACGTCGGAAGAGACTCCATATTTTCACAATTTTTTTATTTCCAAATTGTTGAGATTAAGAAAGGTTGCATCGGAACCATATGAGCTAATTGCAGCTGTTCTCTATTAGTAGTTGCTCTAACTAATAATTCTAGTTTTTCATAATTCAATATTTTAAGTTCTTCCAAACATTGGATAAACAATCCAAAAAAATGATAAGACGGACAAACAATATGAGATACATGTCTTCCGAGTACGGCCTCAAAGACGACCTCCTCATTGAAACAATGGATGCATTGACTATGTCATCGGAGGAAAGATGAGATTACTTCTCTATGCAAGAGGAGCCTTTTTTCCCTAGCCCACGAGAGATTAATAAGGATTTGCAATACCCAAGAATTGAACCCTGAGCACTGCCCCGGGCTCTCAGTCTCGTCAATTGAGCTATCCCGGGTTAATTAGAGGCAGAAATGGTAAACCCTTATAAAATTTAAATATTAAATTAACAAATTTTTAACTAGACTAATGAAATAAATGATGAACAAGTAAATATATTCAAAAATACTAAATTAACAATATTAATTTGAGACGTTAATCAAACCACCTATTCCCCTATCATGTTGGAAATGAGAATTTATTGGGTTGGGCTTTTTGGCCGTTAGATATTGGGTTAGACAAGGGAGAATAAGGTGGACATAAAATAAAATAAAATTGATATAAAAATCCCCAATGAAGATATATAGCATGTACGGTTGGCCTCTATTTTGCTACCACAGTCCTCAGTTAATCGCTGTGAAACTCTAAAGCAAAGCTTTTAGTTTCAGTGGAGTGAGTCTAATCCCTTTTGGATGTGGCTCTCAGCAATTCCAATCCAGGTTAGTTTCTCTGTAACACTCTTTCCTCTCACCAACCACCATCTGCACCTCAAATCTCAATTATTATTAAATCTGAGTATGACCCCTTTCAATGGTTTTAGGGATGACAATGACTATGACTTTATCCTTTTATAATGCTAAGGGAATTACTGTAACTCCAAGGGATTCTCTTTTGCTTAAACCCAACCTATTATCATCTCTTAGTTCCCTTGATTCTTTCCAGGTATATCTCCAATCAACATTTATTATTTGGCTGAATTGCAAGTTCTTATATTAACCCAAAAAAAAAAATAATAATAATAATAATTATCCGGCTTAAATTGGTAGTGTAATTTTGAGCTTCAAGTTCTTCTGGTATGTCTCTCTATGTTTTTTTCACATGTATATAAATGCTTATTGTTTTTTATTTGTATTTTTTCTCTCTTTTTTTTTATTTTTTATTTTTTTGTGAGCAGTACAATAGCAGCAAGATCAGACTTCCTGTGAATATTAGAATTCCAGCAAAGAAGTTTTGTCAATATGCATTAACCATCAGGAATGAGGTGCCACAAAATGCTGATTTTCCTCGCCGTTATTCGAGAAAAGAGAAGAAACCTTTCCCTGTACCCATTGTAGAACTGCGACGAGCAGCTAGGGAGAGGATAAAGAGGATGAAATATGAGCCGAAAAAACCAATGCCGCCGCCGAAGAATGGGTTGCTGGTGAAGAACCTTATACCAACTGCATATAATGTGTATAATGCTAGGATCACTCTGATTAACAATCTCAAGAAGTTGCTCAGAGTAGTGCCCGTTCATGCTTGTGGGTAATTTATAATATCCCTTCGTATCCTCTAGTATATACTTTTGGTTAATGTGGAGCTTGTGTGAACTATTGGGAAACTGCATAAAAATTATGGGTTTTTATTGACCATTGTTAATTCTGACCTTATAAGATATTCCAACTGCTTATATGGTTTCATTGACAATTTGTTTGAAATGATGCATAAATCACAAAATTGCAATACCACTTGACATTCTAGTTTTTTAACTGTATCGTTGTTAGCGTAACTAGAATCTAAATCAGATATTTCCAGTGCCACCTATAATTTGCCATCATGGTGGGCAGTTGATAGTTTCATATCTAGCATCTCCAACAAATACTTAAACCTTCACAAGCCTCACTATTATGCCCTCATGAAAAGGAAGATTACCAGTTCTGCTTGCTACGTCTTTAGTTCTTACCAATCTTGTCCACTGGTTGGAACCCTTTCATGGTAAACAGGCTGCTAGAGCTTCAACACTGAGGGGATTATGATACGGTTAGAAGTAGGGGGAAAGAGCTGCCATAGGATGGAAAGTATATTCCCTTAAGAATATACCCAAATGACAGTTAGACTAATGTGAACTGGTTAGTTGGTTACCTGGTTAGTTAGAATTGATTAATTGGTTAGTCTTTAGATGAGAAGGGTTGCCATCGTATAAGGCAGGGATTTCCCTTAGGATAGTTATTCTGGAGAATTCATTTGTAACTGAGATGTTCTCAGGGGAAGGGGAGACTCCCTTGAGAAGAGCAAGGCTCTTTTAATCCTTTCTGCAATAAAGGATCCATTTTTTCATTTTTCGTTGTCTCATTTCTTTCTCTTCTTTCTTCTGTTAATTTCTTGTTGGCAAATACGGAGCTGTAACAGATTCATTGTAACAGTGTAGGACCTTCGAATAATTTGTCTTAATGTTCTCAAAGATTGTAATTTTAAATGTTTTCTTTTTTATTTTGAGCCCAAAGAATCTATTAATGTGCTTTTTCAACTTGGCACATGAAAAATATCAAGGACCAATTCTAGCTACCTTACAATATATATATTATTTGTGCTTGCCAAGCTAGTCTTCGTGAATGTGATTACCCAATTTGAGTGATTTTTCCTACTAGCTTATTCTAATGTACTTGACAAGAATTTTTTATCCACCTATAAAGTTTCTCTATCTCATTTAAGTCCATTATTTTTACATATAAGTGTAATTTAATGTCTCTACCCGAAAAATGTGATTTAATGTCCTAAATATTGGAATACATGCAGGTGGTGCAGTGAAATCCATGTAGGACCTGTTGGACATCCATTCAAGTCATGTAAAGGTTCAAACGCCAGCATCCGCAAGGGCCTCCACGGATGGACAAATGCCCATGTTGAAGACATATTAATACCAATTGAAGCCTATCACCTCTATGATCGTCTTGGAATGCGGATTCCTCATGAAAAGAGATTCTCCATCCCTCGAATTCCAGCTGTGGTTGAGCTTTGCATCCAAGCCGGTGTTGAAATTCCGGAGTTTCCCACAAAAAGGAGAAGAAAGCCTATAATCCGTATTGGGAGGAAGGAATTCATCGATGCTGATGAAAGTGAACTTCCAGATAAAATCGCAGAGGGCCCTCTAAAACCACTACTAGCTGAAATACCTGATTCAGAAATAGTAGCTCCATCGAACAATGAAGAAGTAGTCCTTCTTGCTGAAGAAACACTCCAAGCATGGGAAAGAATGAGGCAAGGTACCAAGAGACTAATGAGGATGTATAATGTGAGGGTCTGTGGATATTGCCCTGAAATTCATGTTGGTCCCAAGGGGCACAAAGCTCAAAACTGCGGAGCCCATAAACACCAGCAACGAAATGGGCAGCATGGTTGGCAGTCTGCAGTTCTTCATGACTTGATCCCACCAAGATTTGTGTGGCATGTTCCTGATGTAAATGGACCACCCCTGGAAAGAGAGCTCAGGGATTTTTATGGTCAGGCGCCTGCTGTAGTGGAAATGTGCATTCAGGCTGGTGCTGCTTTACCTGAACAATATAAATCAACCATGCGACTGGATGTGGGGATTCCATCAACTATGAAAGAAGCTGAAATGGTAGTTTGAGATCAAATGCTGTTATAAATAAACCCCTTGTTTTGATTATAGTGTAAAACTGTAAATTGTGTGCACTATGTAGGATTTCAAACTTAATGCAATGAGATTTTTTTTTCCAGAATTGGAATAGCACCATCTTGCTAGTTCTGGAAGGAGTCTTTTTGGTAGTTAGACAAACTTTTTGTGTCATCTGCTATATCCTCTGCATTCGGCAAAAGATATATAAAATTAGAGAAATGTGTTTCTCATGTTGCATGAGATAATGCAACATACACAAAAATAGATGGGATTCATTTTTTTTTTCTCTCTCTTTTTCTTAATGGGTTTCATCCACTATTTTGTGAATTACATGAGACAAATTATCTCATGCAACATGAGAAAAATTTTACAAATAAAGAACGCATAAAACAAGAAGAAAAAGATGAGTAACATTTTGTGTGTATTTCCATTCTGTACAGTAGTGCCTTTTATAGCCTAAAAGAGAATAACAAACTCCTAAAAATGCGGGAGTCCAAAACCAAAAAGAGGAGCAAAAATGAGCACAGCTCATATAACAGAAAGCAAAAAATGAGCACAGCTCATATAACAGAAAACAGAAAGGAAAATGCAGTAAACTATGAAATGTATCTGTAAAACTCCCCCTCAAGATGGAGAGTAAATATTCAGTACTCCCATCTTGGAAAGCAGAAAATGAAATTGAGTTGGGTGAAGAGCTTTAGTGAGCATATCTGCAATCTGGTTAGCAGAAGTGATGGGAAACGTTTGAAGCACACCCTTGGAAATATGATCCCGAACCAAATGACAATCGATTTCGATATGCTTCGTCCGTTCATGAAAAACGGGGTTGGCAGCAATATGTAGAGCAGCAGTGTTATCACAGTAAAGATGAGCAGGGGAGGAGTGAGTAACATGAAAGTCACGTAACAAAGACAAAAGCCAAACAGCTTCACAAGCACCATTAGCCATTGAGCGATACTCAGCCTCTGCAGAAGAACGGGAGATAGTAGACTGTTTCTTGGACTTCCATGCAATAGGAGAGTGACCAAGAAAAGCACAAAAGCCAGACACTGACCGACGGGTATCAGGGCAGCTTGCCCAATCAGAATCAGTGAATATCTTGATTTGTAGAGCAGAATCAGCAGACAGAAAAATGCCTTGTCCAACAGAATGTTTTAAATAAGCTAAGATGCGATGAGCAGCATGTAAGTGAGGAACTCTGGGAGTTGAGAGAAATTGACTCAATCTGTTAACCGAATAAGAAATATCCGGTCTTGTGAAAGACAGATAAAGCATCCTACCAATGAGACGTCTGTAAAGAGTAGGATCTGGCAATAAATCTCCTTCAAGGTGTGAGAGTTTCAAATGAGGCTCCATGGGAGTGGATTTGGGCTTGCACCCAGATAAACCAGTGTCATGAAGGATGTCAAGAATGTATTTCCGTTGACTGAGGAAAATACCCTTAGAAGAACGAGCCACTTCGACACCAAGAAAATACTTAAGTGGACCAAGATCCTTCAGCCGAAAAAATTTGTCAAGAGAAGAGATGAAACCTGTAATTGCAGTAGAATCATTAGAAGCCACAATAACATCATCAACATAAATCAGGATGGCTAGCATAACAGAACCCTTAAACTTCAGAAAAAGAGAGTGATCATTTGTAGACTGAACAAAGTCCATAGAAAGCAAAGTAGAACTGAGTTTCTGGAACCATTGTCTTGAGGCTTGTTTTAGCCCATACAAAGACTTCCGTAACCTGCAAACAGGGTTGGGAGGAATAGACTCCCCCTGACAAAAATACCCAGGAGGTAAACGCATGTAAACTTCCTCACTGAGATCCCCGTGAAGAAAAGCGTTATTGACGTCCAATTGATGAAGGCACCATCCATTAACAGCAGCCAAAGCAAGGAGAAGCCGAACAGTGGACACCTTGACTACCGGAGAGAAAGTATCAAAATAATCAATACCTTCCTGCTGTGTGAAACCCTGGGCCACAAGACGAGCCTTAAACCTCTCCAAGGAACCATCAGCATGATATTTCACACGGAAAACTCACTTACAACCGATAGCATGTTTTCCGGAAGGCAGGGAAACAATATCCCATGTTCTATTTTGCTCAAGGGCAGCAAGCTCATTGCGCATAGCATCACACCATTCAGGGAGTTGAGAAGCCTGGGAATAGGTGGAAGGTTCATAATGGGCAGATAAGGCATTAACAAAAGCCATATGAGGGGAAGAGAGGCGGTGATAGGATAGGTAATTGGACATTGGGTGAGCTGTGGAGGGTGAGCAATCATAATCAAGAAGGTATTTGGGAGGATGAGAGAGTCTAGAAGGTCTGCCATTGGGAGCCATAGTGGTGAGTGGAGAGGAAGCAGGAATGGAAATTAGAGGAGATGATGTAATGGGAGAAGAAGCAAATGGAAAAACTGATTCAAAAAAAATTACATCTCTGGAAATAAACACACGATTAGACTGAATGTCCAGAAGTTTGTAACCTTTGAAACCAGGAGGATAACCAAGAAACACAGCAGGTATAGCCCGAGGAGAGAATTTATGACGTGACCGTGAAAGAGAAGAGGCATAACAGAGACAACCAAAGACACGTAAATGAGAATATTGAGGAGATTTTTGGTGAAGAAGAGTGAAAGGAGTAGAGTTGGACAGGAGAGGAGAGGAAGTTCTGTTGATAAGATAAACTGAGGTTAGGACACAATCCTGCCAGTAAGGGAGGGGAACATGAGATTGGAAATGAAGAGCACGCGCAACATTCAAGATATGTTGATGTTTGCGCTCAACCACAGAATTTTGTTGTGGTCGCTCAACACAGGAGTGATAAAGAGTAATGCCTTTGGAAGAAAAAAATGGAATGTGAAATTCGGGTGCATTATCACAACGAACAGATTTGATGGAGATGTGAAACTGATTGAGAATAAGAGTATAAAAATTGCTGAAGACAGAAGAAAAGTCTGATTTTTGTTTGAGAAATATAACCCATGTGTAACGTGTGTGATCATCAACAAGGGTCAAAAAATAACGAAAACCATCAACCGAAATTGGGGTAAAAGGCCCCCAAATGTCACAGTGAATGAGATCAAACGGCCTAGGAGACAATTTTGGATTTAATAAAAAAGGCAAACGTTTTTGCTTTGCCAATGGACAAATAGTGCAATGTAAATGGTCAGATACAGAAGATAAATTCAAGTGTGATTTCATTGATGATAAAACAGGGAGAGACAAATGACCTAGTCTAGAATGCCATAAGGCTACATTTGGAGAAATTGCAGATAAACAAATGGGAGGAGCGACAAGCTTGGGAGGAAGGAGACTGGCAGAATCAAGGACGTAAAGACCACGAACAAGATTAGCAATCCCAATCGTCTTGCCGGAGAGACGATCCTGAAGAAGACAGTGAGATGACAAAAAAAGAGCAACAATGTTAGATGTACGGGCAAGAGCACTGATGCTTAAGAGATTAAACGAAAAAGTGGGAACAAAAAGAACATCATAAAGAATCAAACATGCAGAAAGAAGAGAAGAACCCTTGGAGACCACCGGAGCAGCCGTGCCGTTGGGGAGGGTCACGACCGAATCGGAGGCAGGGGGTGAAAGGGTAGAGGACAGAGGAGCACAAGAAACATGGTGGGTTGCTCCAGTGTCCAAAACCCAGCAAGTAGGAGGAAGCGAAGAGGGGAACTCACCATTGAGGCTGGCTATGGTGGGATTGACGTCAAGTGGTGGAGAAGAGGGCTGGGGATTTTGGATAGACGGTGGGGGAAGAAGGGAAAGCAGCTGTTGATACTGATGATGTGTGAAAGTAGGTGAGGGAGAAACGACAGCGTTTGAGCTGGGCCTGGGTATAGGAGTGTGTAACGGATTATGAGTGGGCCTGGGTGATTTGGGCTGGTAACCGGGTGGGTAGCCATGTAGCTTAAAGCATTTTTCTTTGGTGTGGCCCAAAATGTTGCAATGGCTGCAGAGTGGACGTTGACGGCGCGGAGGAGCACCACTGGCAGCGGCAACAGTCGGCGGAGGAGCAGCGGAAGAGAAAAGAGGGCCATCAGTGACCAGGGGAACAGAGGTCGTAATCTCACGTTGGCGTTCCTCCTGTAAGACCAAAGAAAAAACCTTCGACAGGGATGGAAGAGGGTCCATCAGTAAAATTTGAGCTCGGATCGAAGAAAAAGAGTCATTCAACCCCATAAGAAAATGCATGGCGTGGTCCTGGTCACGATCATGAGAAATAGATCGGAGAGCTCCACAAGTGCAGGAATAAGAGGGTGAGTAATCGAAGAGTTCGTCCCAAAGGGTTTTCAGGCGAGTATAGTAGCCATTAACGGTCGAAGCATCTTGGTGCAGGGAAGAAATTTGCAGCTTAAGCTGAAATATTCGAGGACCGTTGGCTTGGTGGAATCTGGTACGTAGATCGAACCAGGCATCATAAGCATTCGAGGACCGTTGGGGAGGGTCACGACCGAATCGGAGGCAGGGGGTGAAAGGGTAGAGGACAGAGGAGCACAAGAAACATGGTGGGTTGCTCCAGTGTCCAAAACCCAGCAAGTAGGAGGAAGCGAAGAGGGGAACTCACCATTGAGGCTGGCTATGGTGGGATTGACGTCAAGTGGTGGAGAAGAGGGCTGGGGATTTTGGATAGACGGTGGGGGAAGAAGGGAAAGCAGCTGTTGATACTGATGATGTGTGAAAGTAGGTGAGGGAGAAACGACAGCGTTTGAGCTGGGCCTGGGTATAGGAGTGTGTAACGGATTATGAGTGGGCCTGGGTGATTTGGGCTGGTAACCGGGTGGGTAGCCATGTAGCTTAAAGCATTTTTCTTTGGTGTGGCCCAAAATGTTGCAATGGCTGCAGAGTGGACGTTGACGGCGCGGAGGAGCACCACTGGCAGCGGCAACAGTCGGCGGAGGAGCAGCGGAAGAGAAAAGAGGGCCATCAGTGACCAGGGGAACAGAGGTCGTAATCTCACGTTGGCGTTCCTCCTGTAAGACCAAAGAAAAAACCTTCGACAGGGATGGAAGAGGGTCCATCAGTAAAATTTGAGCTCGGATCGAAGAAAAAGAGTCATTCAACCCCATAAGAAAATGCATGGCGTGGTCCTGGTCACGATCATGAGAAATAGATCGGAGAGCTCCACAAGTGCAGGAATAAGAGGGTGAGTAATCGAAGAGTTCGTCCCAAAGGGTTTTCAGGCGAGTATAGTAGCCATTAACGGTCGAAGCATCTTGGTGCAGGGAAGAAATTTGCAGCTTAAGCTGAAATATTCGAGGACCGTTGGCTTGGTGGAATCTGGTACGTAGATCGAACCAGGCATCATAAGCATTTGTGAAATACATCAAACTATCAGCGATATCCTTTGAAATAGAATTCAGAAGCCAAGAAATCACCATTGAATTGCAGCGATTCCAAGCACTGAAAGAAAGATTATCAGAGGAGGGACGAAGTAAGGAACCATCGACAAAGATGGATTTGTTCTTCGCGGTTAAGGCGAGTAACATAGCACGGGACCAGGAGTTGAAATTTGGGCCAGTGAGGATATGGGTAACCAAAATCAAGCCGGGATGATCACCATTGCTAAGGAAATAGGGGCTACCGGAATCTTCAACTGAAGGTGAAGACCCGGAAGTGGCAGCACCACCAGGATTGGCGGTGGAAGAATTGTTAGCGGAGCCACGAGCCATGAGAAAGCGGCAAGGGCAAGAAGCTAAAACTCATCTGATACCATTTTACAAATAAAGAACGCATAAAACAAGAAGAAAAAGATGAGTAACATTTTTGTGTGTATTTCCATTCTGTACAGTAGTGCCTTTTATAGCCTAAAAGAGAATAACAAACTCCTAAAAATGCGGGAGTCCAAAACCAAAAAGAGGAGCAAAAATGAGCACATCTCATATAACAGAAAGCAAAAAATGAGCACAGCTCATATAACAGAAAACAGAAAGGAAAATGCAGTAAACTATGAAATGTATCTGTAAAAAAAAATAAAACCCATAAAATTATTAGTGTAAGATCAGTGGAGCAAAAATAATCTGATTTAAGCTTCTGCTATCCTTTTCTCTCTTCTCTTCGAGAGGGAAAAATCTTTTTGGGAAGTTTGCTGCATATTGGAAAAATAACTACTGATGCCAGGAGGCTGGAGTAACCTCTATAACTATGAACCGACAAGTATTTTGATAGGGATATATTATTTTACCTATCTTTTTTTCATGCTTACTTTACGTATCATTTTTCAAAATCATTAGATCAGAATCTCAATAAATTTTTATCATTTCTTTCTCCTTTTGAGATTCTGATCTAATAGTGTTTGAGAATGACATGTAAGGTAGGCATAAAAAATGATTAGTGGAATAACTTATCCCATTTTGATAATGTAATGCATTAAGATCCAAATTCCGTAAAAGTATGGGATGGTTTGTACTCTAATATCTTCACTAATAATCTTGACATTAATATTATTATCTTCATTATCCTTAAAAAAATATTATTATCTTCACTAAATTCAATCACACTTTGTATTACAATCTTGACATTAATATGAATTAAAAAAATTAAGAAAATCATAATCTTGACATATATATATCAGAATGGTGGGATTATAATATTTTTAAAAATATTAAAATATGACGCTACCTATGCAATTGGATGATAATATAAATTCATTTAATATATTAATATGAATTAAAATTAAATTTTTTAATAATATAATAATCATAATTAAATAATACAATAGTATTGATCATACAAAGTGTGTAAACTGTCTATGCTTGCTAAATTCAATCATGCACATTAGGTTCTTTGGACGGATTGTATCAAAATTACATATTTAGCAAGCATAGCCAGTTTGCACACTTTGTATGATCAATACTATTGTATTATTTAATTATGATTATTATATTATTAAAAAATTAATTTTAATTCATATTAATATATGAAATAAATTTATATTATCATCCAATTGCATGGGTAGCGTCATATTTTAATATTTTTAAAAATATTATAATTACTTACTTATTTACATGTATGCTAGTGGTTAGTCATTAGTGGTTATGAATTTTTATTGTTAGACATAATTTATTTTCTATTTTTTTTAGTAATTATCATTGTATAAATAATTAAATGGATTAATTTTTATTTATTTTTTGCAAGTGAGAGATAACTTTATCTAAAATGGATGTAATTCATTATTTTTTCTTCCTCTTTTTTTTTTTTTGAATACCAAAAAGTTTAAGTGGGTTAGACACCAATAAAGTCCTCACATCGGCCGGCGGGATTTGAACCCACGCCCTTGAGGGGTATGGACCAAACCCTTAGCCAACTGTGCCCACTTTTGTTGGCTTTTTTTTTTTTTTTCCCTTCCTTTCTTCTCCTTACAGGACCTCACTCACTCTCACATATATGCAGGAGATAAAAACAATTATCTTCTAATTATAGGAGAAAAACATTGAACCCATAATTAAATACATAGTTTCACAAAATTTTTCTAATTAAATAATTCAAGGTATCAATAAATTAAAATTTATAATAATAATTTAATTATTATATTATTAAATTTAGGCTAAATTACACATCACCACCTTATACTTTGACCATAATTTAAAAGAGCACCTTGTACTTTCTATTGTTACAATTAAACCCCTTGAATTATGCAATCTCCAAATTTAAGCGTATCTGTTAAATATTTTTCAAACTTCGTTAAAAATCATGTGCTTTGGGTTTCAGATTAAAAGGATAATTTTTAGAAGGAAGGTTTGTGTTTTTTCTCACCTCGTCGATGTTGATCGTTCTCTAACCCCAATTTTTTCACTATCGCATGTATATGGCTTCACTGGTTTCATTGCTTCAAGAAGAACCTCTAGTGGAATCCTTGGCTTTGACCGGTCTATAGAAACTATGATCTAGGTCTCGACAGTATTCCTGCATTGGCAAGGACGGATTTTGATTAAATTTCACTTCAAACAACACAAAATATGAAAACATTATCATCTTTAATTAAATACAGTAAGGCTAATACCGTTTGTAGTTGTTGCTTTTGATTTGAAAAATTCTACAAATTCAGGTTTGTCACTTTTCTAGTAATGACTATTACCATTTCTATATTGTTGCAAGCTGTGAGGTTTAGTTGCAATTAGTGAGGGAGTTTAATCAATAGATAACACCTTCATCTTCAGCTTCATCTAGTCTTCTATTTCTTTTAATGTTTTTCTATGAAGCACCCATCCTGTTTTTTTGGTTGTTAGATAACTCTCTTTGGATTGCAATAGTATATAGAAACATTCCATTCGGTTACGAAATCAATTTTTTTTATTTTCTTGCAACCAGAAAACTATTTCACCTTTTTGTAATAACGTTGTTGCAAAAGTAATCATTTCTTCTTTGTAATTAATAATTGAATATAATAATGGACTAATCATAGCACATATTTAATTCCACCTTCGTAGAAGTATTGTTCTCTGAATGGAATTTTACTTCATCATCGACAGAATACTTGTGCTGCAATGGAAGAATTATTATGTTTCATCTCTGTGCAAATTTTGATATATTCAAAATCTTTGTTAGAAAGATTCATGCTAATCAGATAACCAACCCTACTGCATTTAATTAAAGATGATAGTGTTTTCATATTTTGTGATATTTGGAGTGAAATTTAATCAAAGTTCCCCTCTCTGTAGGATTACTGTCTAGGTCGAGAGAAGTACTATCATTGCACAATTTCTACGTAGGTGTCACTAGAGGTTCTTCTTGAAGCAATGAAACCAGAAGCCATATATACATGCGATAAAGAAAAGATTGGGGTTAGAGCACGATCAACATCAAGGAGGTGAGAAGATACAAAAGCCAGCCTTCCAACAATGAACATTTCAACCTGAAACCCGAGCACGTGATTCTTAACGGAGTTTGAAAAATATTTAACAGATCGATATGCTTAATTGTAACAATAAAAAGTATAAGCTGATCTTTTGAAACATGGCCTAAGTACAAGATGGTAATGTGTAATTTGGCCTTAAATTTACAAGTACTTTCATCCAAGTAATACGTGAAAAAAAAATTATATATTTTTTAGTAATTTTATATGTAAGAAATACATTTTTATTTTAACCTCTAAATAAATGTTTATTTACCTGAACTTAACGTTGAGATGAAATGCTCTTTTAAACAACGGCTTTCAGACTCTTTATGTTGCTGGAAGAAATTTTCTTCTCCTCCACAACCTTCGGCAAATGTGTTATTAGTCTTTTTTTTTATAATGGTGTGTTTCACAAAATTTGTCTTTACAACATAAAGTAAAACATCTCAGGTGACATAAAATTAATAAGATCCTTTAAACAAACTCTTTATATATTTTAGTACAGTTTCAATTTTTTAATGTTATAGACACATCTTATATGTAAGACTCATATCAATTAAAAAAAACAAAAAAATCAAAGAAAATATTACACAAAAATTAAAAAATCACTGCAATTAAGAAAATGTTTTCCCTTTTTATTGTACTGTAAACTGCATGTACTATGTAGGATTTCAAACTGAATATCTTCTATGAATATGACAAACAAAAGTCATGCAGAGCGATTCCAAAGCCACAGAAGCACTTTCAAACTCTTTTGAAGGTCAACCACCACGTGTCAAACTCTTCAAAGATTTGTTAAGGGTAAGACCCAACAGAGACGCAAGAAAATGAAAAGAAAAATTTTTCAATGTGTTTATTCAGAATGAATGATCTTTTTGTTACAAGGGACCCCTTATACTAATCATCTTCTAACTTCCCACGTGCATTCCCTTACAATGGACACATAGATCCAACTAACTAACTAACTGCCACCTCACTAGCCAATACCTAGCCTTTTACTATTATACCTCCGCTATGACACTGATATACACAAGTGTACAATTAAACATCTACTACAAAGTCCTTAACCCACATAGGGGCTCCTCTACTTCTTTTGCCCGTAACAATACCCCTGTCTACCAAATCAACCTTGTCCTCAAGGTTCAGCTGGGGGTAGTGCAGCTTGAGTTCCTCTTCATCCTCCCAAGAAGAATCTTCTTGCAAGGAATGAGACCATTGAACCAACCATTGCTTACCAGATTTATGTTTATCAGATACCGTCCGAGACATTAAAACAGCTACTGGCTCTTGGACAGGAGAATTGCCATGGCTAAATTCAGGTACAGTTTGAACTAAATCAGGATGTTGTCCCTTAAAAGGTTTCAGGACCGAAACATGAAAAGAAGAATGTATCCTACACCCCTCTGGAAGTTGCAGCTGGTAAGCGACTGGGCTCAACACTTTAATAATGGGAAAGGGGCCAAAGTACCTTTTGGCTAGCTTCTGATTTGATCGTCTTGCAACTGTCAATTGCCTATAAGGTTGGAGTTTCACCAACACCAAATCACCCACTGCCAGGGATATATCTGTTCTATGTTTATCTGCCTGGATTTTCATGCGATTTTGAGCTCCTTGCAAGTGATGTTTAAGTTGAGCAAGTAGCTCATTGCGATGGACTAATGCTGTATCAACTGCTTCAACCTTGACTGATCCTCTAGGATAATAAGGAATCATCTGAGGCAGTTTCCCATACAAAGCCTGAAAAGGACTCATACCAATTGAAGCATGGTGAGCTGTATTATAATGCAACTCAGCCCAACTCAAAAAGGAGGACCACTTGTGATTCTCATCAGAACA